GCAGACTGTTCTAGAGGTTTGAAATGGGTGTAGCCCAAGGGTTATTAAGGAGTGGCTTGGTCTAGTGATGTTAGTGTGAGAAATTAGCATGTAACTGGGTACGGAAGTGGCTACGTTAATGTAAGATATTATGCATGACGTTAAAGTGAGAAATTATCATGTAACTAGCATGTAACTAGCATGTAATTACTTTTGTATTTGTTTGTGTTTTGGTGATGTGTTTACCACTGTTGTACTTCGCACTTCCTATCGTGTTTTTATTTTGTTTGTTGTCATGTTCTTACCCCGTGCCCCGACTGGACGCCTGTGAAAAAGAGCTTTATAGCTTATCGGATTCTTCCGGCATGAATAATGATTCTGATTCTGTGTAGCGCTCCATCGATTGTAGGGGGTAAGTGCTGATAGGAGTGTACCGCCCATGAATGCCGACATAGCACACCTATGACGGGGTGGGGTGGGTGGCCAGCACCACGCCCGGCCGCCTTTGTCTCCCCAGTGACGGTGTTTAATACACACCGCACCAGTTACTCATTTTGAGGCTGAGTCGACCTAGGGGACGACCCAGGACCGGTTCATACATTCGCTGCCACTGTTATTGGTCGTGAGCAGGAGTTGAACTCTGTTTCACTGGGTGCCTAGCGCAAGTGCGCTAACCACTGCGCCACCGCTCCCCACTAAAGCGTAAGACAAAGATCCCCCGTATAGCCTTAACAGACTGTTGGGGCAAGTGCTGTTAGCAAGTAGCACCTATGAAGGCACACGAGGGGGTGGGTGGGCCAGCACCACGTCCGACCGCCTTTGTCTCCCCAGTGGCGATATTTACTGTACATCGCACCAGGTACCTAGTAGAGGCTGAGTCGACCTAGGGGAGGCCCACGACCGGTTCAGATAATCGTCACTGGTGTTGGTCGTGAGTGGGAATTGAACGAGGGTTGCCAGATTCGTAACGCAGCGCGCTAACCGCTACACTACCTCTCTGGCCGGCACCACGCCCGGCCGCCTTTGTCTCCCCAGTGGCGGCCAGAGAAGTGAATTCGGATTTCCCCAGAGAGGGCCTATGTCTAGAGTTACCTGGCAGTCCGACCAGCATTGCTTCAAGCTCTGATTCTACTGATGAGACACTGAATATCGGAACCAATCCTTTGCCTATAAGCATCTGGCAGTTCAACCAGCATTGCTTCAAGCAAGCCCTGACGTTGCTGATGAAAATCAGCATTTTTATTTAGACTGGAGGAGGAATGCCATGAGCTAGAAAGTTACAACACAAACAATACAAAATACAGTTGGGGTGCTAAGTGTAGGAAAGTTAAGCAAATCACAAAATTTAAATTAAAAAAAAGTATAAAAGTACACATTGCTAAAGTATATAAAGTTCTGCCGATTTTTAAATAATAAATGCAAGCCACACCAAGACAACAACAACAACAGTCCCAGACCACACCAAGACAACAACAACAACAACAGTCCCAGACCACACCAAGACAACAACAACAACAGTCCCAGACCACACCAAGACAACAACAACAACAGTCCCAGACCACACCAAGACAACAACAACAGTCCCAGACCACACCAAGTCAACAACAACAATAGTCCCAGACCACACCAAGGCAACAACAACAACAACAGTCCCAGACCACACCAAGACAACAACAACAACAGTCCCAGACAACACCAAGACAACAACAACAACAACAACAGTCCCAGACCACACCAAGACAACAACAACAACAACAGCCCCAGACCACCCCAAGACAACAACAACAACAGCCCCAGACCACACCAAGACAACAACAACAGTCCCAGACCACACCAAGACAACAACAACAACAGTCCCAGACCACACCAAGACAACAACAACAACAACAATCCCAGACCACACCAAGACAACAACAACAACAGTCCCAGACCACACCAAGACAACAACAACAACAGTCCCAGACCACACCAAGTCAACAACAACAATAGTCCCAGACCACACCAAGGCAACAACAACAACAACAACAGTCCCAGACCACACCAAGACAACAACAACAACAGTCCCAGACAACACCAAGACAACAACAACAACAGTCCCAGACCACACCAAGACAACAACAACAACAACAACAGTCCCAGACCACACCAAGACAACAACAACAACAACAGTCCCAGACCACACCAAGTCAACAACAACAACAGCCCCAGACCACCCCAAGACAACAACAACAACAGCCCCAGACCACACCAAGACAACAACAACAACAACAGTCCCAGACCACACCAAGACAACAACAACAACAGTCCCAGACCACACCAAGACAACAACAACAACAACAATAGTCCCAGACCACACCAAGACAACAACAACAACAGCCCCAGACCACCCCAAGACAACAACAACAGCCCCAGACCACACCAAGACAACAACAATAACAACAGTCCCAGACCACCCCAAGACAACAACAACAGTCCCAGACCACCCCAAGACAACAACAACAATAACAGTCCCAGTTTAACACGTAGGATTTCGCGATCAATATCATCCATAAGAGGTTTTTTGGGTTACATCACGTAAATATAAAAAAGTGTCGTTAAACCCGCCACCACCCGACACAACCAGCTAGTAAGGGTTGTCACGCAAAACAGAACGTGGCCAATTCGTCACTAGTACAACATTAGTATATAGTATAGTGTATAGTGTAGTGTATAGTGTAGTGTATAGTGTAGTGTATAATAGTGTAGTGTATAGTAGTGTATAGTGTAGTGTATAGTAGTGTAGTGTATAATAGTGTAGTGTATAGTAGTGTAGAGTGTAGTGTATAGTATAGTGTATAGTGTAGTGTATAATAGTGTAGTGTATAGTAGTGTATAGTGTAGTGTATAGTATAGTGTATAGTGTAGTGTATAATAGTGTAGTGTATAGTAGTGTATAGTGTAGTGTATAATAGTGTAGTGTATAGTAGAGTAAAGTGTAGTGTATAGTGTAGTGTATAGTGTAGTGTATAATAGTGTAGTGTATAGTGTAGCGTGCTAGTACAGCCACACCAGTTGTGTTGGAGAGCCAAGCCACAACATTAACAATCTGAGTAACGACGTTTCGCCAGTAATTACAACCAGCTTCATCAGGCAGACAGCCAGATTTGTGGAGAATTAGCGTGTAACTGTAAGATAGGAGAGCGGCCTCCTCACATTAACATAGCCACTTCCGTGCCCTCATGGAGGAGGCCGCTCTCCTCCTATCTTACAGTTATATGCAAATTTTTCAACATTAACATAACTAGCCCCGCCCACTTCATTATGACCCTTGGGCTACGCCCATTTCAAATCTTTTAAAAACAGTCTGCCTCAGCAGCAGGCCACGCTTTCCCTACCTGATGACGGACCGCTTGTGTATTTATTTCTACCCACGTGACTTTACCGAAATAACCAAAGAGTATGGATTCCTGCAGTCACGAAAGCTTCAATTCAAGTGTTTTACCCTGTCTGGCAATGAAACAGGAGTTGTGTTAAGATGCTCAAACACCAAATAGAACACCTTTAGCAAGGAATGGAGTTTACCGCATTGACCACACACACAGGACTTGTGGTGAACATGCAAACAAACATGTCTCTGATCATAATAATAGAGTGGTACCTCGGTATACATCGTTAATTTGTTCCAGAAGGGGTATGACTTATACCGAAAATGACGTCTACCAAACGAATTTTTCCCATAAGAAATACAGGGAGAAGAAATGATATTTTATACGGCATATTATACATTAATGGGGTTGTATCAAATAATTTAGACACTACTTATTACAAAAAATGCATACTCAAATTAAAATGAATGCATAAATAAATTAAAATAAATTGAAATAAAAATATTGTACTGGCAGACTGAGGAGCGGCGCTTTGTTTCAGTCTTGCACCTGGGTCTACGCGGGTCCTTTGGTGACTCATCCCGACCCTTACAAGTTCTAGCAAGCAAGACGTCGTATCCCGACGTGTACCACATTCGACGTATTCCAAAGCGGTCGTATACCGAGGTATGAATGTACACGGGCATTGTTTTTGAAACGGATTGGGCCTACACCAGAGACCAAGGCCGTAGCCATGGAGTCAACATTGGGGGCGACCAAATCTTCCAGGGTGTCTGGGGGGGGTCCTAACCCTGAAAAAAAAAATCTCAATTTGAAAACTAATTTCCTGCCATTTCCTGCGTAAAAATATTTTTTAAAAATTAAACTAACTCATGGGATGGACTTTTTATTTATTTTTTACAATAATGTCTAATAGTGTTATTGTATTACATTGCGCTGTTTTTACTTTTTTTAACCATTTCTTGTTTCATTGTATGTAATGGCAGAGATTAGAGATTAATAAAGTACAACCGCAACCACAATCATATAAACAGAAATCGATGCGTTGATTTATATGAAGGCAAGTCCAGATATTGTGGCCAAGGTTTAGCAAATTGTTGTTTTTATTTACATAGCATAGCAATGATTATTACTTTTTTATACTTTTTTATAGCAATATATTGGGGGGGGGGGACATTTTAAGCATATTTGAATATTGGTGGGGATGTGTCCCCCCTCAATATATAATATAATTACGGCCTTGACAGAGACAGCTACAGACTTCTTTGTGGCCCAGTCTCACCACCAGTGTCAGACCAGAGAACAGCGCCAAATGACGAATAGTAGCTACAAAATGGGACCTTTTTTTTAAAGAAAGCTGTCTCTGGTGTGGACCAACCGGCTTCAAAGACAATGCATCATATTACCATAGTATGTTTTTTGTTTGCATTCTGACCACAAGTACTGTCGTTAATGCAGTAACATGATTCCTTGTAAAGAGGTTTCAGTTTGGTGTTTTAACATCTTAAAAACAACTGTTTTGTGGACAGAACAAAAGGGGAAAACCTATTCTCATATTTTGTTACTGGCAAAGGAGGTCCCATGATGATGTTTTATTTTGTCTATTCTTGTCTTTTTTTCACCCACCTCCCCCGTGCCCTCCGACCTCCTTCCCAGGCGATGCCCAACCATTGCCGCGACCTTGAGGAGAACCCGGCACGGTCGTCTCGGAGGAAACTCTCCGAATCCGGTAAGGGTCACGGGTGCACCTGGCACCACCGCATGCAGCGCGAACCGCAGCTCTTCCGCTTGAGCCAAACAAAATCATTGCAGGCGGCGGCGGCGGCGTCGTCATCGCCGCCGCCATCTTCATCACCATCGCTTTGCCGAGCGAATGCGTTTTCAGGTCGCGCTCATTACACACACACACACAGCGCTTGCCACGAATCCCTTTGCTGGTCTCGTAAAGGAGCATGAACCAATCATCATGCAAACTGCGGTGATCCTCGCAGCAGCAGCAGCAGCAGCGGTGGCTTTTGGCTGAGCCATCTTATAAAGACGGCGGTGGCCACCGCATCGCGCGACGCTTTCAGACGCGATCCTGCGGCCGTCTGGAACGCTCTTCCTTCTGATATCAGGATGCCACTGGGGGGCTATGAGCTTTTAAATCATGCGAAATTTAAAACTAATTTCTTTAGAACCGCTTTTTTGCGTTCAGTTTGCCGTCCTTCTCCGGCACCTCCGATTAGCCACGGTTGGCTACGTACGGTGGTCGGTGCGAAAGAAGTTCAACGTACGTGCATCTCACAATCGTCGGTTCGCTGCCCGTCATCCCCGTCGCTGTCTCCCAAACGATCGCCCCACCGTAACCCGGCGACGACGCTTCGCCCTCAGCGATGGAGGCCGCCACTGCGCCCACCAACAAGCAGGCCCGCACGGCCGCTTGGGCCGCGTCTCAGCACGCGGCGGCGGCGGCGGCGTCGGCGTCGCCGTTGCCGCCGCTGCCGCCCCAGCGGCCGCCGTCGCCGCCGCAGCCGCCGCCGCCGGCGCACCCCGGAGGAGTCGGCGCGCCCCGGTTCGACTCCGGGTCCGACGCGGCGGGCCGAGGGTTCGACGAGGAGTACGAGGTGTCGTCCGTGCTGAGCGACGAGTACTACCTGCACGACGGGATGAACGATGGCGACGACGATGAGGAGGTGAGCGAGCGAGCGGGTTGGCGTTCCAACCGCCCGGGAGCGTCGTGGCGGACCGTCTGCGGGCACGGACCGCCTTTGCCACCGACACGGCCGGGCCTTGCCACGGGGCCGCAGCGAGCCCGGCAGGCGCGGCTCGGCACGGCATCGCGGGATCGCGAGCGGTGGGCCGATGTCTTGAGAGAGGCCTTCATCCAGCAGTGGATCGATCGCGAGTGATGATGCCGATAGCATTTTTATTGTTATTATCATTGCGACGAGGATCAAATATCGCTTGCGATATCCTAAAGAACCAGGGCGCCGCAGTGGCAGAGATGTTAACTACCTCGCCTGGTACGCAGGAGGTCGTGGGTTCGATCCCGACCCTGACGCCTGCTGCTGCTGTATATTTGGAGTTTGCGTCTCTCATCATCATCATCATCGCGGTGGCTATGAGATGTTAACTACCTCGCCTGGTATACAGGAGGTCGTGGGTTCGATCCTGACCCTGACGCCTGCTGCTGCTGTATATTTGGAGTTTTCATGTATCTCTTCCCGTGGTAGCGTGGATTCCTCTCCGGGTCCTTTCGATATCCCACCCCTCCACATTGAGAATTATCAACGTCACGCGTTTAGAGTATTTGGCTGCTCGAAATTTCCACGCGACTATTGATGAGCCCACTTCATTGCCGGGTTGCTTCTGAGAGAGAGCTCCACAGCTCGGTGGGGCCTGACCTGGCATCAATAAAAAAAAGTTTATAGTTGCACGCATGCGCGCCGAAATGTGAATCTTAGTTTGTGATCTCTCCTCTGTTGAAGCAGAGAGAGCTAATTGCTTGGCGCGGTCATGTGTTTAACGTGTTTAACAATCATCCGGCGCGTGCAGCGGCGTGGAGCGAATTTTTGTTATTGAATCGGGAGGTGGTGGTTGGGGACGGGGGTGGACATCGGTAAAACAAAGAGCTTCATAGCTCATCGGATTTCTCCAGGATGAGAAAAGATTTGGATTCTGGTGATGCCGTAGCGTGGTGGTGGGAGGCTCACGACGGCCGTGTTCGGGACTGTCCTGGAGATGTGAGTGTGGGATAAGCGAGCTGTGTGTATTATGGGACCTTTTTTTGCCAGTATCAAATGCTCTGGTACGTGCATTGTGCTTGTACTGGTCAGCTTTTGGCGCTAGTCTCTGGTCTGACGCTGGTGGTGAGACTAGGCCAACGAAGAAGGCTGTAGCTGTCTCTGGTGTAGGCCAATCAGTGTCAAAGGAAATGCCATCTATAATTATCAGAGGATGTTTGTTTGTATGTTCACTACAAGTACTGTGTGTGGTCAATGCAGTACTTGATTCCTTGCAAAAGGTTGAATCTATTTGGTGAAATTGACCATCTTAACACAACTCCTGTTTAATTCCCAGGAAGGGGTAAAACCAATTCTTATCCTTCATACTTTGATACTGGCAAAAAGGTCCCATAATATAGCTGCTCACCCCGAAATTAAAATGCTCTGATAGTGGCATTGTGCTTGTACTGGTCGCCTTTTGGCGTTGTTCTCCGGTCTGACGCTGGTGGTGAGACTGGGCCCTAAATAATGCTGCTTGTCTCTGGTGTAGGCCAATCAGTTTCAAAGACAATGCCCAATATATTATTATCCGAGTTTGTTTGCATGTTCACTGCAAGTACCGTGTGTGGTGAATGCAGTAAACTTGATCCCTTACAAAAGGTTTCTATTTGGTGTATTGAACATATTAACACACCCCTGCTGTATTCCCGTAAAGAGTAAAAACCTATTCTTATTTTTCATACTGAGCTGTGCGGTCTCCCCAGCGACCCAAGTTCGATTCCCGCTCACGGCTAACACAGGTGGCGATTATCCGAACCGGTCCTGGGCCTCCCCTAGGTCGACTCGGCCTCAAATGAGCACCCGGTGCGGTGTGCAGTAAACATCGCCACTGGGGAGACAAAGGCGGTCGGGCGTGTTGCTGGCCACCCACCCCCCCTCGTGCGCCGTGCCGGCCTTCATAGGTGCTGCTCGCTAACAGCACTTGCCCCTACAGTCTGTTAAAGGCTACACGGTGGGATGGGGGGGATCTTTATCTTTTGTCTGTCGCAGAGCCCCTGCGAGACGGAGTTTGTGGGAACGGACGCAGGAGGCCTCGGCTCGGCCGTGCTTCGCGCACACACAGCCTTCCCCAGCGTAAGTGGGCACACACACACGCGCACGTGCTACACACACGCACATGCTACACACAACAACAACCGCCACTCGCCACTCAGGCTAGGTGCACGTTGAGGCCACGTGAAGTGTCGAACGTCCCGCTGGCAGGAGGTCACGGGGCAGACCAGGCAGGTGCCACGGGTCGACTGACTGAGATGAGTGGCCGATGCACCACCTTGTGCCCCCCTATTGTGCCAACTTGCTGTGCTTTATCCGCCCGGCGCTCCGCTCGTTGTTGTGAGCGTCGCTCCTCTGCCCTCTGTTGTTGTTGTCTCCAACTGCCCAGTAGCGTCCTTCACGAGCCTCCTCCTTCACAGAGGTCGATATTGACACCGCTGGTACCGGTTATCGGCAAGTCCACTCAGCTCCACGTCCTCATGTACCACATCACTCCACCTCTTCTCTAGCCCGTGTCACTCACCCATCACTCCATCTCTTCTCTAGCCCGTGCCGCGCCCCTTAGCCCCCTCTATCCAGTCGAACAAAAGCTGTTGAGGCATGCCGTGGCTGAGCATGTAGGCTACATGGCTCAGCTAACGCAGCCTTTGCTTGCCGGAGGAGCTCACTGATGGGACTTCGTCCAGATCACACGCTACACACACACATGCAAAACACGCACACTATACAACACACACACACACAACCACGCTACACCCATACAACACACACACATCTGTAAAACATGCACACTTGTACAATACTCACGCCTGTACACACACACACGTGTGCAACATTAATGTAAAAAAAAACACATTTAATTTTACCAGGTAAGGTCCCACTGAGCTATGTAGCTCTTTTTTAGAAGCGACCAGGCCACAAATGAGAGCTCAACGAAGTAAGTGGCCTATCATCATCACGTGGACATGTATAGCAGCTAAATACTCTAAACTCGTGACGTTGATTCTAAATGTGGAGGGGAAAACCGGAGGACCCGGAGAAAAATCCACGCGACCACGGGGAGAAAGAGAGAGACACGCAAACTCCAAATATACAGCAGCAGGCGTCAGGGTCGAGATCAAACCCACGACCTCCTGCGTACCAGGCGAGGTAGTTAACATCTCATAGCCACCGTGATGATGATGAGAGACGTAAACTCCAAATATACAGCAGCAGGCATCAGGCTCGGGATGAAACCCACCACTTCCTGCGTACCAGGCGAGGTAGTTAACATCTCATAGCCACCGTGATGATGATGATGAGAGACGCAAACTCCAAATATACAGCAGCAGGCATCAGGCTCGGGATGAAACCCACCACTTCCTGCGTACCAGGCGAGGTAGTTAACATCTCGTAGCCACCGTGATGATGATGAGAGACGCAAACTCCAAATATACAGCAGCAGCAGGCGTCAGGGTCGGGATGAAACCCACGACCTCCTGCGTACCAGGTGAGGAAGTTAACATCTCGTAGCCACTGCGGTGCCCTGGTTCTTGGCACAAGCGAGCAAACCGAGCAACGTCCCATCTCGTCTGTAGTGTGAGGAGAGAGGAGAGACGAGGTGGGAGGCCATGAGGGACTGGATAAGAACTTTGAGAGCCACGGAATAAGAAAGATATTCCCTCGTTATTTGCGAACTTGGCCATCCGCGATGTTTGGCTATCCGCGAATCTCCCATCTGAAACCCTACACGACTGCTGCATCGAGAGAGATAAAGTGATGAGACCTCATCTCATCGGAATTGATAAAGTGCCTTAACAACGGTGCCTTAACGAAGGCGCTTTACAGAGAATCAAGAACGCTACAATGTGTGAGTGTAATGGTGGGGATGAGGTGAATACAATAGATGAGAGGAAGCAAATCTGTGATGATGCGTTAATTACAGTAGGGGAAAGCGAAATTGACGAGAGTAAATGATGGATGAATACATTGAATGAATGGGGTTAATGAGTGATAGCCATGTAATTGGAATAATAATTACGACAGTAAATGATGGATGAATGGATTAAATGAATGGGATTAATGAGTGATAGCCACTTAATGAGAATAATAATAATTATTATTATAACAGTAAATGATGAATGAATTGAATGAAAGGGGTCAATGAGTGATAGCCATATGAGAATAATAATTATTATAAAAGTAAATGATGAATTAATTGAATGAATGGGCTTAATGAGTGATAGCCACTTAATGAGAATAATAATTATTATTATTCTGACAGTAATTAATGATGAATGGATTGAATTAATTGGGGTTGATGAGTGGTAGCCGTATCATGGCAATGTGAAGAGGGAACAGGAACGGTGGTAGTGGGCAAACGCAGCGTGTGATATTCCTAGGCCCGAAATCATCCGCGAAACATCTCTGGAACGTATATCCCTCTCACGAATAACGAGGGAATATTCTAAACGCGTATTTTTTCGTGGTCTTTGGCACACAGGGCAGCTGGCGTTGCAGCGAGTGCCTCATCGTGAACCTGCTGTCCCACCGCTACTGCCTCTACTGCTGGTCCCCGCGGAGAGACTCGCAGAGAGACTCGGGCATCTACCCGGGCAGTGACTCGGACGAGGAGGAGGATGACGTGGAGGTGGCGGCGGCGGCGGCTCTGGCCGACGCCGAGGTGGGAGCGCGGGAGGAGGACGTGGAGGTGGTGGACGAAGAGGAGGACGGAGAAGGGGACGGCGAAGGGGACGGAGAAGACGCGAGCGCCGTCGGACGTGGCGGCGGTGGGGTCAAAATGGCTGCCCGGGTAGCTAAAATGGCCGCCGCCGCCGCCGCCGCCGCCGCAAAGCACCGCGGAAAGCAGCAGCAGGAGGCGGCGGCGGCGGCGGCGGCCGCTGCCACCGCCGCCGGCGAGGAGCGAGCGGTGGCCGGGCTGACGGAGGCGTGCGTGATCTGCCGCGTGCGCCGACGGGACGCGACGATCGTGCACGGGGGAACGGGCCACTTGGTGTCGTGCTTCGCCTGCGCCCAGAGGCTCCACGGGCAGCGCAGGCCGTGCCCCGTATGCCGGGGCCCCATCCAGCTCGTCATCCGCACGTTCGTGTCGTAGTCCGCCAAATAAGCTATTGCAAACTTATTTTAAACTATTTTTTTTTTAAATGTTTTTTTTATCGGGTAAGGCACCACGGTGCTGTGTAGCTCTTTTTTATTCAGAAGCGACCTAGCAGCTCAACGAAGTTGCTTATCATCACGCGGGAATTCCGAGTAGCAGCCAAATACTTTAAATGCGTAATCAATTCTAAATGCGGAGGGAACAAAATAAAAACCGGACGACCCGGCGTGAAAAATCCACACGAAGACCAAGTGTCAAAGGTTCTCTTCCCCCCGTACGAGCCTGCCGGGGCAGTTGTTTTTACAAAACACTGCACCAGGTACTCGTGTTTGAGTCGGCCTGTACGTACGTTGAACTTCTTTCGTTGCTAATCGGAGGTGCAGGGGGATAGCAGGAAACAATGTACAGTTTAACACGTGGGCTTTCGCGACCAATATTATCCGCAATAGAGCCGTTAGATGGCTAACCCCCCCCCAAAAAAAACCGCTGTTACGGATCAACAATGTACATTGATCCTCTTTCGTACCAGACGTAGCCAGCCATTACTAATCGGAGGTGCGGGGCGAAGGACAGGAGCTGGGGGGTGCTGATTGGGGGGGGGGGGAGGCCCGCGACCGGTTCGGACATTCTTTGCCGATGTTCGCCGTAAGACGGTAAACGAATTTGGCGCCGCCGGGTCGGAACGTGTCTGCTCTTTCAGGAATGTTTAGGGAATGTTTGTTTGGCGGGGGGAGGGGGGGTGGGGGGGAGGGTTATGCCACGTCTTGTGTTTTTGTTTCGTGGTTCCTCGTGAATTTTTTGTTTTAATAATTTTTTCGTTTTAACCATCGTCGTTGCGCCACGCGTTTCGTTCTCAAAACCAAAAAAATCCAACCGCGCAGCCGCCCGCATTTTTAACGTCGTTTCGCGTCTGGAGCACAGAAGCGTGCCGTCGTCTCACTGCAAGGATGCAAGGGAACTCGGAAAGACGATCGGCAATCTGCAGCACACGGCCGGCGAGCCAGATGCATGCATGCAGAGGCACGCACAGGCACCGCACGGAGCAGAAGACCCCGGGCGGCAGAGTCCCCCACGCGCAATCGTTGGGAAACACGTGGCCGGATGCAAAGCTTGCCTCGATGTTCTGAGGATATAATGGAGTCCCCCCGGGATTTATTGAAGTCTTTTGCCGATGTTGGAGCACTTTCCCCAAAAACAAAAGTAAAACAAAGCAATGACCTGAAATTATTTGACGGAGCGATTTAAAATAAATAAGTAAATATATTGCGGTTGAGTTCATGTTTGGGGCGAGGTTTTTATATTTTTCACGTTAAATATGTCGGGCTATCCTGTATTGTGTTCGGTTGTTATACTTCAACCACACTGGTTTTTTTTTTATTATCGGGTGCAATTGCAAACAACGGCCATATCAGACATCAGTAGCAACATCTAATTCGGCACAATCATTGGGTTCACTGCAGCTCAAAGACTCGCAAGTCCCCCTACAAGGCGCGCGGAGATGTTACGAGATGCCCCATGTGTGTGCGCGCGTAGCTCGGCATTTGAAGGCCTGAAGACTCAGAATCGGTGATCCCGCTGACAGTGTGTTCATCGGGTGGAGGCGGTTTCCATTATCCGGACAGCAGAGTGAAGAAGACGAAGGAGGGAACTTCTGTCCAGGGGAGCAATGCTCTGCCAACTGTGGAGGGGGGAGGGGGGTTGTGGAGAGGCAAGGTCGTGGCTTGGTGGCTTGGCACGCCCTTGCGGGTTGCAGGGCCCGCGACCCGTTCAGACGCCGCTGCTCACCCACAACCGATGATTGGAGTTTGGCGAACCCAGCAGCTTCGGTCGGGAACGCGCACCGTTCTTATTCTTAGTTTTTTCGGTAAAGTCACGTTGAAGAGAAACAACAAAATAACAAAATATATATAAAACAATAAAAAATTCTCACGACGTTTCGACCATAACTCAAACGGTCATCATCAGGTGTGTCGGTTTGCATAAATTTATTTTTAAAACGGCACATTTATTTATTTATAAAAAACGTTGGCGTCACGTGCAGCGATTGGCAGTTTGCCCAGGACTAGTCCATCTATTTTTTTTTCAACGTGACTTTACCGAAAAAACTAAGAATATGAATTACTGCAGTCACGAAAGCTTAAAATCAAAATTTGCGCACCGTTCTGTCGGGAATGATGGTTGTTTCTCTTTCTTTCTTTCTTTCGGGGAGGAGCGCACGACGTAATGCGTTCGGCCGTCGGGGGCCCCCCGGTCGCCGGCCGCGGCCGACCGCGTTCGAAGTGCGCGTCGCGCTCAAAAAAACCGTCGCGCTAAAGGCCACCGCCGTCGTCCCTTTTAGCGAATGCTCTTTGGCACTTGCTATGCCGGTGCAAATGTCACCGCGTTCTCCGGACTGCAAGACGCACTCTCCCGCACCCCCGCTAAGTGTGAAGCAGCGGTTATGGGTTGCGTCTCATAATCCGGTAGATGTGGAGCGGCTAGCCGCGCCGCACCGCGCCGCAAACCCCGGCGAAGCGGGTTCGATTGACGCTCACGGCCAACGCCGGCGGCGATTACCTGCACCGGTACTGGGACTGCCCCTAGGTCGACTCAGCCTCAAATGAGTAACCCGGTGCGTTGTGTAGTAAACATCGCCACCGGGGTGACAAAAGGCTGCCGGGCGTGGTGCTGGCCACCCACCCCCCTCGTGTGGCCGTGCCGGCCTTCATAGGGTGCTCGCTAACAGCACTTGCCCCTACGGTCTGTTCAAGCCTATGCGGGGGATCTTTGCCTTTGTGTGCGTTAGTCACCAGATTTGTGTCACGTTATTGACACCGAAAGGCCACACAAAGTTCCGGTCGCGTCTTTTACTCTGCGGAGTATGGTGGCGCACAATTCACGTTCACCGCAATTGCAAACGCACGGATGATGTATATGATATGCATGCTTTGATTTTTAAAGTGTATTAATGTATAGCCAAAGTTGGCCGTACTTTTTGAAGGTTTTTTTTTGTTTTCGTTTGTTTGATGATGTACGATAAAGGAATACCTCATGTTCACGTGGAGTGGGTTTTTGTTTGTAACGAGGGCGCGCGCGTAAAGCAAAGGTTAAAAAAAAACAAAGACTTTAAAGTTATCCCCCTCGAGAATTTTGTCCTTTTTGCTTTCCTCGCTATCGGCGTCGTCAGGACACGAAGGGGCCGATAGGAAAATCTCGCAGAGCCGCGCTGAGAGGGAACGGCACCGTGGAAGCGGACACAGCAGAGCTACCACTGAGATCCCTTCTCCTCCCACCTCCTCCCTCCTCCTCTACTCTCCCAATCGCTCGCCCACCGAGAGCCATGTTCGTCGCTCGACAGTCCAACCGCTATGTTTTTAACTCTCAGCTAGAATTTTAGCCACATTCAGCGCAGAACCAAATTTAATGTGATGGGGTTTTTGTTGCTGCTGCTGCACGGTCATCAGTGGCTAAAACCATCAACTCACTGCGCTCACTTGAGAACTCGGTTTGACCACAGCACGGTCTACGTAGGTCTTCATGCGGGGCGATTGATCTCGGTTGTGAGTCTGTGGGTTCCTATATGTATGTATGGGTCTCCGTGTGAGTTCATGGGTCCTTACGCGAGTCTATGGATCTCGATGTAAGTCTGGGGATTTGTATGTCAGTTTATGGATTGCTGCACAAGTCACTCGTGACCGGGCTGAGATCAGCATTGGTTTAATCACAGCTCACAGTCTATGTGAGTCTCTGTGTGAGTCTATGGGTCTCTGTGTCAGTCCGTGCGTCTCTGTGTGAGTCTATGGGTGTCTGTGTGAATCTATCAGTCTCTGTGGGAGTCTTTGTGTGAGTCTATGGGTATCTGTGTGAGTCCATCAGTCTCTGTGCGAGTCTCTGTGTGAGTCTATGGGTCTATGTGTGTGTCTATGCGTCTCTGTGCGAGTCTACGTGTCTCTGTGGGAATCTGGAGGTCTGTGTGTGAGTCTATAGGTCTCCATGTGCGTCCATGGGTCTATGTGTGCGTCTATGCGTCTCTGTGCGAGTCTACGTGTCTCTGTGTGAATCTGGAGGTCTGTGTGTGAGTCTATGGGTGTCTGTGTGAGTCTATCAGTCTGTACGAGTCTTTGTGTGAGTCTGTGTCGCTGATAACCCGGATTAGAACCCAGGCTCTCGGAGGCCTCGTCTCACAGGGGGGTCTGACCCCTGGAGCCCGCTGGCTACTTTGCGGTGGCGATCACCGGAGCGTCGTGGCCTGCATTTTTTAAAAGTCGATTTATGGTTCGAATATTATTTCGCCCCCCCCCCCCTCCCGATCTCTCAGTTTGTAACGACGTTTGACGTTCGACGTTGATGCAACGTTGTCCTCGGGTGCCTCTTTCATCCGTCGCATGGCACCAACTCCAGGCCCGGCTTCTTCCTATAGCTTGAAGCTCGTAACCCTCTGCCGAACGTCCCCCCCCCGCCACATCCCCTTGTTTCTCTCCCATTTTGTGTGTGTGTTATATCCCCTCTCGATGCCCCTTCTCTCGGAACGTCTCCCACGATCGCCGTCCCCTTTCTATCAGTCTCTGTGCGAGTCCATGTGCGTCTATGGGGAGGCGGAATGACCGCGGGCAGATTACAGGACGCGGCTTCGTGCCAACAGAAAGGGGCGTCACCCGATGACCGCGCGCACAAGATGATCATTACACCCACAACGCGGCGATGTTTCTCAGCGACAAACGCGGGGGAGGAGGCGACGTTTCCTCTTTTTTTCGACGCCACAGCGTCGGAACGGTTGATTTTTGAACGAGCAAAGCAACGACAAAATTTGAGCATTCGAAATTTTCTCGGATTGTGCATTATTTTTTTTTTTACATCAATGAACCCGAAGATTGGGGTGAACGCCGCGCCGATTGTGACCGCGAGAGTCAGCCGCCGACCTCTCTTTCCCCGTGGTGCGAGGGAGACGTGATGGTTGGTGCCGACGATACAACTGCGATAGAAACGCTGCTCTTAGTCCTTTCTAGGTACCGTCGTTCGTGACTCATTCGTAGTAACAATGACAATAAAATAAACATATTTATAACTAGCTGTACTTCCCGGCTTCGCCCGGGACTTAGATTCACCACGCCCGGCCGCCTTTGTCTCCCCAGTGGCGATGTTGACACACCACAGCAGTTACTCGTTTTGAGGCTGAGTCGACCTAGCGGAGGTCCAGGACCGGTTCAAATAATCGTCACCCGTGGTGGCCGTGAGCGGGAATCGAACTCGGGTCGCCGGGTTCGTAGCGCGGCATAGCGCTAACCACTGCACTACAATGCGTTACGCTTCCACGTGCACGGGTCACGTGACAGATTTGACGTCACAGCTCACTTGCCGTGCAAAAAATATGAGCATTATTGAGCTCCCCCCCCCCAAAAACACAAAAGTGTATTTTTATAATTTTAGCATGGTGTACAGTCTGGAAAGTACCCACATGGCAAATTTGCAGTTTGTTGCATGTCGGGAAGTACGCTGAACATTTTGAACAGACACACATAATCACAACTTTGCCTTTTATATATATGGAGATATCGCGAAATTTTGGATCATTGTCGTGGAGGGAGCATCGTGAGATGTTTGGGATGCGAGAGGAAAGTTGTTTCGTAAAATGTCCACTGCTGGCCTCTGTCCTCGTGGGCACATGTGGATAAAAAGAGCTTAGTAGCTCATCGGATTTCTCCGGTATAAATTCATTGTCTCATTCTCATTCCGTCCACCCAGCTGCAGGCTATAATTTGTGATCGGCCTGGTCATCCGTGGTGGTGGTGGTGGTGGGGGGTAAAGTGTAGGTACACCTCGCATCTTCTAGCTTTGACATCGTGTTTCGTTTGTTTTTCCTTCCCGCAGCACCTCCGATTTAGCCACGGTTGGCTACGTACGGTGCGAAAGAAGTTCAACGTACATAGACTCACACAGAGACCCATAGGTTAGCACGGTTGGCTACGTACGGTACGAAAGAAGTTCAATATACATACATAAACTCACACAGAGACCCATAGATTAGCAAGGTTGGCTACGTACGGTGCGAAAGAAGTTCAACATACAGTACATGAACAGAGACCTACAGAGACACCCATAGACACTCAGAGAGACCCATAGATTAGCACGGTTGGCTACGTACGGTACGAAAGAAGTTTAACATACATACATAGACTCACACAGAGACCCATAGATTAGCAAGGTTGGCTACGTACGGTGCGAAAGAAGTTCAACATACAGTACATGAACAGATACCTACAGAGACACCTATAGACTCACACAGAGACCCATAGGTTAGCACGGTTGGCTACGTACAGTACGAAAGAAGTTCAACATACATACATAGACTCACACAGAGACCCATAGGTTAGCACGGTTGGCTACGTACGGTGCGAAAGAAGTTCAACGTACGTGCGTAACGTTCTGTGCCACGATCCGCATCGGAACATCAGCAGGTCGATGTGCACATCTATGTCTGTATGTATGCATGCTGAACTTCTTTCGCACCGTACGTAGCCAATCGTGGCTAATCGGAGATGCGGGGGGGGGGCGGGGGGGGGGAAGGACATCAAACTAAACACAAAAAAAATAAGTTCTAAAGAAATTTAGTTTTATTTAAAAGTGCCTAGCTCCCAGTGACAT